TTGTCACCGTTTCCAAAAAAGTGTCCCTTGAACATGGAAACGGCAAAAAACCGGCGACCAGAAACGGCAACACAACGGCTCCAGGATTGGAACCGGAGCTGGAACCGGTCAAAACACGGCGACGGAACGGGTAAAACACGGCGTTGGAAGCGGCAACAAAAACGGCAAAACAAAACCAGTAAAAAAACGGCCCTGTCGTTTCCAGGGCCCGCTAAGTTGAGAGATGAAAAAACGACCCCACACTGGGTTACAAGTGCGCGGTCCGTAAACCTCCTGGGGAACCCCAAAGCCCAGAGCCGCCAGGACGCGGCACATCACGCAGGGTTCACGCTGCGCCTCGTAAACCAGGGTAGGGGCATTTTTTTATGCCCTTGACTAAGGGCACGCCTGCTGGACGCGCTCCAGGAACAAGAAGGCTCGTCCCCTCGCGCCCGCCCTGGCCGGCACACGACAGTCAGCCTCCGCGATCGGCCGAGGAGGAGGAGGAGGAGGAGGAGGAGGAGGAGGAAGAGGAGGAGGAGGAGGAGGAGGAGGAGACGACGGGGGGAGGGGGAAGCGGATGAGCCTCCTCCCCCTCCCCCTTTACTCCTTCACTCCTCCTCATCTCCTGGGCAAGCAAGGGCAGGGCTGGAAACGCTGCGAGTCTTCTCATGGGCAGGCAAGGGCCAAGGCATCCGACGACATGATTACATCAATGGCGGGGGGCAGGAAAGTCGGCCACACGCAGGAGTGACCCTTGGTGAGAGCGAGCACTGGTGCGCGGCTTTTCGGGGGCCAGGGGGGCGGCCACGGCCAACCAGACTCGCGCAAGACGCCACTGCCGCCTCGCGTTCGGCGATCGGGGGACCAAAAGTCCCTCCGGCGAAAAATCGTTCCTACGTCTAGGCGAGACAGGGGGGCCCAGTGAGTCCTGGACGCCAGCCACCCGCTGGGTGCAGACACTCTCCGCCTCCTGCCGCGGCGCCCGGGCGGACGCGCAGTGGCGTCCGCACATCGCCGCTCCAAGTGCTCCCGCTCCCGCTAGAGGAGCCCCGTCTCTTCCTCCTCGTGCTCCTCCTCCTCCTCCACCTCCTCCTCCTCCTCTTCGCCCTCCCGCTCCTCCTCGTGCACCTCCCTCCACCTCCCGCTCCTCCTCGTGCTCCTCCTCCTCCTCCTCCTCCTCCTCCTCCTCCTCCTCCTCCTCCTCCTCCCTCCTCCTCCTCCTCCTCCTCTCCTCCTCCTCCGCCTTCCTCCTCCTCCTCCTCCTCCTCCTCCTCCTCCTCCTCCCTCCTCCTCCTCCTCCTCCCCCTCCCCTCTCCTCCTCCTCCTCCTCCCCCTCACCCTCCCCCCTCCCCCTCCCCCTTCCCCCTCCCCCTCCCCCTCCCCCTCCCCTCCCCCCCCCCTCCCCCCCTCCCCCCTCCCCCTCCCCCTCCCCCTCACCCCTCCTCCTCCTCCTCCTCCTCCTCCTCCTCCTCCTCGTCCTCCTCCTCCTCCTCCTCCTCTCCTCCTCCTCTTCCTCCTCCTCCTCCTCCGCCTCCGCCTCCGCCTCCGCACCTCCGCCTCCGCCTCCGCCTCCGCCTCCTCCTCCTCCTCCTCCTCCTCCTCCTCCTCCTCCTCCTCCTCCTCCCCATCTTCCTCCTCCTCCTCCTCTTCCTCCTCCATCTCCTCGGAGACCTCCCTCTGGTGGCCAATCCAGTGCGGGGACTGCGTCGTCGGATGAGGTGGGAGGGGGAGGAGGAGAAGGAGGAGGTCGGTCGGTCGGTCTATCGCCATATGATCCAGATGCTCACTTACCTTGCACAGCGTGGGATCGGCGTGCGCGAATGATGCACTATGCATCCCGCGTTGTCAAAACGATGGGAGTCTCCCCCTGGCACAATTCGGGGACACCATGAGCCACAACATGTCAGCAGACTGTGGGCAGGAAGAAAAAGGAAAAGAAAAAGGAAGGGTATGGAGGGGCGGGGGGGGGGCGGTGCCTGGTCCATCGCGTCCGTGTCACACGGTCGCTCTCGGACACTATGAGGAGGATGCGAACACGAAAGAAAATAACGGTGGGCTGGACACGGGAAGTTGACCGAAGGAACCGCTGGGGACCGGTTGCGACTGCCCAGGCGCGGCCCATTGAACCCACCTCAGTCCCCCACCCTGCGCCCAGATTCTCCACCCACGCCCCTCGCTGCCGTGCTGCTCCCTCCCCTCGCTCCCGTCCTCTTCCATCTCCTCAACCTCCTCCTCCTCCTCCTCCTCCTCCTCCTCCTCCTCCTCCTCCCTCCTCGTTCTCCTGCCCTTCTCTCCTCCCTCTCCTTACTCCTCCTCCTCGTCTCCCGTCCTCTGGCCTATTCCTCCTCCATCCCCCTCCTCTTTCTCTTCTGCCGCCTGGCTCCCTCCCACCGCCCCCGCAGCGCCCATCTCGACGTTCACCTCGGAGCGCGTGCGAAGATGGGGTGCTGAGACCCCCCGAAGGTGTTCCTGGACCGCGCGACAAAGGGGTGCAGCGTCCCAAGAAGGCAGCGGGCTCGTTAGAAGCACTCCTGCCTTCTAAAAGAGGCCGCACCCTCGCCCGCATTCCTCCTGGCCACCGACGAGCGTCTCGAAAGCCAATATCCAAGGTCAGCATCATCTCTGCTCCTTCGTTCACCGTGTCCCCCCCCTTGGCATCGATCGGACGTCCACTTCCCGTGCAGTTTTCGGTACCGGGCGTGTTTGATGTTGCTCGATGGTCCAGGATGGTCCAAGATGGTTCTCGCCGAGAAAAAAAATCACACGTCCGAGCGGCCCAAGCCCTCCCTGTCTGAAGGGTGACCCCCCCAGCCAGAATCTGGACTCCTCCCATGGGAGGAGCAGCCTGCCACTGGCCTGGCATCTGTCGGGGGGACGTAAGACCAGGGTACAGGGGACTCGGAAATCCCTGACGAGGTCGTCAAAAAAATGACGAGGCCGAGCCTGCAGTTTGACGAGGCCTCCCGCTGCAGACATGCCCACGAAACTCCTGCTCGTCGAGATCCGAATCGCGGCCGTCAACAAAACGATGGCGAACCCGAGTCCTGGCAAACCCGGGTCTTACGCTCCCCCGAATCTGGGGACGTCGACCTCCCTGGACCTCAGGAGGGGTACACCCTGCGAAATGTTTAAGAAATCATGGGTTAAGAAATGCATAGTCTCAGAATTTGAATGAAAACCCAGAACTTCTATCAACATCTTGGGATTTACATTGAAAAATTAAGAATAATCGAGACTTTGGCCGAAAACTCACGTTTTCTTAAGCGTCGCCTGAGGTGTACGCCGCCCCGTGTGATCTGTCTGCTTGCGCACGGCGCACAAGGCTTCGCACCGGCGAACGGCGCGGCCTCCGCCGGCCCACGCAGTTCCGCCCGTGCCCGGGCGCGAACCATGCTGTAAGCGCGCACAGTAGTGCGCGATGGTGACGAGCAGGTAACGACGGAGGAGGAAGAAGGAAGCAGACCCAGGAAGCAGACCCAGAGGTCCGACGCCTTGCTTTGTCTTTCAATAGGGGGCCCCAGAAGCCCCGATGCTTTCCCATGGACGGCGTTGCAGCCTGCGTAGGTATGTGTTCCCGCGGCCCCGGCAGGGCCCCAGGGAGCAACCTCGGCCTTGCATTTTTCAATACGCTGGGGGCCTGGGGAGGTGAAAGGGAAGAATGACTGGGTGTCCCGCCAAGGCCTACGATGCTCACGAGCCACTCACCGCAGGAAAGGCCCCTGCCGCGACGGGGATGCGGAAGACTCGCTGCCGGCTGCTGCGCGCGTGCAATTGGTCTAGATACGCTGGCAGAGTAGGTGGGTTCGGGTGTCATTTGAGATCCCCGCTGTACACTGCATCTCTCCGGTCGGCCTCCGGTCCCAACGTCGACGATGCTGGTTCGATGATGCACCGTTGGCCATTCGCCCGAGGAGGCACCAGCGACCGAAACGCGTAGCCAATGTTTTCCCGCAACAGCATGAGCACAAAGTTCTGGAACTCCACGAGGACTTCGGAACATCTATGGTTACGCCTTTGCTTCTGCTTCGATCGATGCACAACTTGTGGATGGGTTGCGCATCGTTGAACCGATCCTCATCCCCGCTGGCGCAGCCTGGGCCCCACCGACCGAGTTGCCCCCTAGTTAGAAGGGTATATCGGCGATTCCCCTCGGGCTTGGGAGGGTATACCCCCAACTGGGGTGGAGGGGTGGTGGGGCTCGAGATGGGGATGGAGATGGGGATCGGCTAAATGGTGCACGTCGGTCGGAAGACGCAATCTACGCATGAAGTAGGAAGGCTGGCAGAGTAGATTTGGGTTCAGGCCTTCCCAGATAATAAGAAGACACAGCACAAGCACATCGGTTTTTGGAATATGAAGGCGCTTGAGGTAGATTGTAGTCTGGGGATCTCGAAATACCTACATTCAACGGCCGGCGTCTACTGATGGGTGCCTCGCTTTACGTTGCCGCCATCGTGCTCGAGGAAAACATCCCAGAAATAATTTCGAGCACCATGAAAGGTATCGAAACAATGCCCACCCGACATGCTGACGGAGTGTCGAGCGAGCATTGCCCGACGCGTGAAAACCCTCCCAATTTAGGTGCCTTCCAGGTGCTCGAACCTCTTTCTGGCGATCAAGGCTCAAGTAGGTTCAGGTCGGGCATGCCCCCCGACAGGCGGATTCTGGACGAAACAATAAAAACAACAGCAACCCATAGTCAAACCTGTTCGAAGAAAATCGGCCCCCGACTAGTTTAATACAATATTTGAACACTCCTCCTGCAGATTTGGACGCCCGAAATGGGTACCGAAAAAATGGGTACTATGCCCAACAGCAAATGTTGTCCCAAACCAACAGCGGCCGCTGTTGGGCAGGCGGCCTCCTGTCTCGAATGGACACAGGCCGCGGTGGCGTGGACAACGAGCCCTGTTCAAACTGAACAAGATCCGCTGTTGGGCATTGTACCCGTTCTTTCAGTACCCATTTCGTGCGTGCAGAGTAGAGGGACATGCCCGACTCAAAAGCAGGCCGGAGCATCACAGGCCTCGCGGAGGCCTGCGAGGCGCGCGAGGCGCCGGCTGCCCCGGATGACAGTGAGGCGACCTCTGTGCACCGAGGCTTCTTCCGGCCCTGCATTGGAGCTTGCACTGGAGAGCGGCTCCTGGTTCTTACACGGGGCCCCCGATGTTAGGGAGTCGAACTGTGTACACCGACGCTTCTTCGGGCCCTGCATTGGAGCTTGCACTGGAGAGCGGCTCCTGGTTCTTACTCGGGAGCGGCAGAGAGGGGGGTGTCCAAGAGGGGGGGTGCAAGTCATGTGCGCGGCCCAGCGGGGGGGCCAGGGACGTAATGAAACAAGAAGAGGCGCCAGGAAATCTGGGGAGATATCATGGCACCCGCCATGATATCCACCCCCCCCCTAGTCATCGCCCCCCTCTTTTCCGCCCCCGACTTACACGGGGCCCTGGCGTAGGACATGTTTCGTTGCTTCCCCGGGACAGCGGGGAACCAGAATATACACCACACCACCCCCGCGTGGACCTCGACCCTCAAGAGGTCCTGGGATAGAAAAACGGCCCGCCACCGGTGGTGTGTGTGATGCAGTTGCCGAGGTGAGGCCTCCGCCGCGGGCGGGCGGATGGGGCGCTGCCGCGGCATCCCCGCCTCGCACCGTCGCAGGCACTCGCGGCTGCTCTTGCGCAGCTGCTCCCGCACGGCGTCCAGCTCCGCCCGCAGCGAGCCCAGGCCTCCGCCGAGGCCACCAGTCGGCCCGCACCACGAGGGTGCGCGGTTCGGATGCAGGGGCCCTGGAGGGCCACGTTTGCGAGGCGGGGATGTATCCATGTCCACCGCGAGGGAACCGACGTCCTGGTGCCCCAGCGGGCGGTGGATATGGATATATGTTGGCCCCCAGGGGCCCGAATATATCCATATCCACCGCCTGTGGAGGTCCGCGAAGATCGACCCCCAGGCGGTGGTTATGGATGAATTCCCGCCTCGGAGCGTTGCCGTTCTTCGAGCGAGGTTGGCCAGCAAAAGTCGCCAAGGATGGGCCGAAAGGGGCACGGATGCAAACGGGTACCCTCAAAAAGTTGCCCGCCCTCGCTGTGCGGGTGCCTCTGTGCCCGTCGGTCGGAAGAAGCGGATGGAAGCGTGAAGCAGGAAGGCGCTGGAAGTGGGTTGGGTCTCCGCCCGCCCCCCTGAGGAGGGAAGGAGGAAGCCACTCGATCCTCGGAGCAGGAAGGCACCTGACGTAGACTGAAATCTGGGCATCCAAAAAGAAAAAACCTACTTTTATCGACTGGCGTGCAGGCAGAATAGAAACAAACTCGGACCGAACTAAATCGGAAGACTCTGGGCATCGGCGGGATTGGAGAATGTATCCGCGCGCCTCCAACGTTTCAGAGCGTTCTGGAACGCCCTGAGAGCGTTCCGGAACGCTCTGGAACGGATTTCCCTCGATTCTGTGCCCGTCCCATCCGCTCCAGGCGGCATTTGCCGCCAAGATCTCCGACGGCATACTTTGCTCAATCCCCGCTTCAGGCTGGAGTTGTGGGTCTAACGCGCACGGGTCCGCAGGGAGAGGTGCAATAGTACCCTCAAGGGCGTCCAAGACGGGGGGTGGGTCGTCGAAGAGGGGGGGCGCAAATTATGGCCAGCAGCATGTGCGCGGCTCAGGGGTGGGGTGTCAGGGAATCGAAAGGAGGCGCCATAAAATCTAGGGAGTTACCATGGCCCCTGCCATGCTATCCACCCCCACCTAGTCGTCACCCCCCCTCTTTGTCCGCCGCCGAGACCTGCATCAGGTGGTGCCTGGATGCACAATGGCTTGCGCGCTGGACACAAGAATTGCGCGCGGAGGCACATTGCGTACTCCGGATTTCGTAACAAAGGGAGGGGGGTCTCATTTCGCGGGGTCTTGGAGGGCCTGGGGGGGTCTGGGGACGATGTTTTGGAGGGTTCTCCCACGGGGGGGGTCTGAAACTTCTCGTCTGGGAGGGTTGAGACCCCCTCCCTTTGATTACGAAATCTGGAGTAGCTTCTCTCGCACACAGTCCCGAGCATCGGACGTCTCGACCTCCTCGAGGCACGGGCCTCCGACCTCTCGGCCACTCTCCCAAGACCGGGGTTCTCGTCCCGCGCCGTTGTTGTTACGCTCCCCAGGCCAGGGAAGGGCCCCCAGAGGCCAAACGCTCACTGCGATGAACCTCCCTCTCGACTTTCTCGAGACGCGAGGGTGTCTGGAATAGCTGCCACCCGCGAGATGAATAAATTCACCACCGCGCTTGCAGCGGTAGTTGTGGCTGTGGCTCTGCCTAGAAGGGTTCTTGCTCTCTGGGCTTAAAGGGCCGGGCAGTGTAAATCGCCCCAGGCGGTTCCCCCAGGATCCGCCCCGCGGTTCCCCCTGCTACGTCCCATCAGCGTAGCGTTGCTCATCTCATCTCAGCTTAGCTTATTTCATCCTAGCTTAGCTTAGCCTCATCTTAGCTCAGGTTTGTCTTAGCTTAGCTTACCTTCACCTTAGCTTCGCTGCGCTTTAGCCTAGCCTAGCTTGGCTTAGCTTAGCTCAGCGTAGCCTAGCACAGCATTAGCATAACATAGCATAGCATCGCATATCATATCATAGCATAGCGCAGCATATCATAGCGCATCATAGCATTGCCTAGCATAACATAGCATAGCGACACATACCATAGCATAGTATAACATGGCTTAACAAAACACATCGCAGCATATCACATCACATCATAACATATCATCACATAGTATAGCGCAACATATCATAGCGTAGAATAGCATAGCGCAGCATAGCGTAGCATAGCATAGCATATCATAGTGCAGCATCACGTAGCATATCAGATCATAGCATAGCGAAGCATCGCATATCATAGCATAGTCTAGCATAGCGCAGCATGACATAGCATAGCATAGCATAGCGCAGTATATCAGAGCATATCATAGCATAACATAGCATACCATAGCGCAGTATAGCACAGCATAGCATAGCCTAGCATAACATAGCGCAGCCTAGCATACCCTAGCATAGCACAACATAGCATAGCGCAGCGTAGCATATCATAGCATAGCGCAGGTGTAGATGCAGGTGTAGATGTTCATGTAGCTGCCGGTGTAGATGTAGATGTTGCTTTCCTAGATGCTCCAACTCCTAGACAGGGTCGCACTGGGATAATTTACTCTCCCCAGGCCAGGGAAGGGCCCCCAAAGGCCGAACACTCACTACGATAAACCTCCCTCTCGACTTTCTCGAGACGCAAGGGTGTCTGGAATAGTTGTCACCCGCGAGATGAATAAGTTCACCACCGCACTTGCAGCGGTAGTTGTGGCTGTGTGTTATGTGTGTGACTGAATTTGTGTTTGCGTGTGTGTATGTGTGTGTGTGCGTGTGTGCGCGTGCGTGTGCGCGCGTGTGTGCGTGTGTGCGCGTGCGTGTGCGCGCGTGTGTGCGTGTGTGCGCGTGTGTGTGCGTGTGTGCGTGTGTGTGTGTGTGTGTGTGTGCGTGTGTGCGTGCGTGTGTATGTGTGTGTGTGTGCGTGTGAGTGTGCGTGTGTGCGTGTGTCCGTGTGTGCGTGTGTGCGTGTGCACGTGTGTGCGTGTGTGCGTGTGTGCGTGTGTGTGCGTTTGTGCGTATGTGCGTGTGTGCGTGTGTGCGTGTGTACGTGTGTGTGCGTTTGCGCGTGTGTGCGTGTGTGTGTGTGTGTGTGTGCGTGTGTGCGTGTGTGCGTGTGTGCGTGTGGGCGTGTGGGCGTGTGGGCGCGTGTGCGTGTGCGTGTGCGGGTGCGTGTGCGTGTGCGTTTGTGCGTGTGTCGCGTGTGTGTGTGTGTGTCTGTGTGTGTTGGGCCCTCTTGCTCCTTGCGAAGCAATACTTGGGCCCCCTGGACACATCGAGCCAAAGATGCCTTCCTTTTCAGGGCCAAGTCCCCGCGCTTTTGGCCTCCCAGGTAGAACATGTGCCCGAAATGCGAGGTTGGGGCAGGGAGAATCACTGGACCCTGGCGCCCGCCCCCCTCCCTGATCCCTCCCCATGGGCGCCCGCCCGAGCGCGATGGCGCAGTCGCAAAGCAGCACCACTGGATAGCCGGTGTCTCCCGCAACTGCTGGACCCCAGAGGCCAAACACTACGGAACACCTCCCTCTCGACGTCTTCGAGACGCCGGCAGGTCTGGGAAGGCGAAAACCCACCCCCACCCCCAGTCCCGGCCCCATCCTGGAACCCGCGACCCGGGAGGTCGGGACTGGGGGTGGGGGTGGCTTTTTTGGGGGTCCACGAATGGAGAAAACCCACCCCCACCCCCATAACCGACCCCTTGAATCGCCGGCTCGGGGATTTAAAACAGGGCTAGGATCGGGATAAATCGCTCCAGAGCGTTCCGGAGCGCTCTCAGAGCGTTCCGGAACGCTCTGGAGCGGCCGCGGCGCCCAATACATCCTCCAAACCCGCCGATTCTCAGAGATTTCGAATTATCCCGATCCGATTTTGTCCCGATCTTCGCGTCGTTTGAGGATTGGAGTGGGGATTGGGGGTGGGGGGGACTTTTCGCCTTCTGACTGTCTGGGATCGTTTTGCCGCCCGCGAGATGCGCAGGTCGCGGTCGCGCCAGGGAGAGCACGCGATCCTCGGGCGCCGGCTACTCTCCCGCCGTCGACCCCTCTGCACCAAGAGCCTGTTTTTTCTGGACTCTGGCAAGTTTACTTGCATGCATGGACGGGGGGGGGGGGCTGAGCCGAAGCAGGCCGAAAAAGAAGTCGACGGGGGCGAAATCAACGCAAGTCGAAGGACACTTGCACGCTTCGTTTTCGATTGAAGAGATCGAGAGGGGGGGTCGGGGGGGGGGGGGGGGGGGGGGCTAACGCCCATGGCCGACATCGTCCCGGAATATAAAAAACAGGCTCCAAGACCGCCGCTCCTCCTGCTCAGACCGTCTGCTTCTTCTCGACTTTCGCGCTCTCTGTTCGGGCGTGATTTTCTATATTGGGGGCGACAGATTGGGGGAACCCTGAGAACCTGGCGTCCTCAATGTTTTGTCAAGCTGGGCATGTGGGCATGTTTTCTTTGCCCCAGGACCCTCACAAAGAATCGAATCCGTCTCGAACAACAACGCAAGAAGATGGGGTCGGAGTCAGGTGTGAATTGATTTATCCGAAGTTGGAGCGTGAAATATAAAACGACGCAAAGAATCAGGGAACAAATCGAATCGATACTCGAAACTCTGAGAATCGGGCGTTTTGGAGGATGTTATAGGCGCCGCGCCGCTCCAGAGGCGTTCCGGAACGCTCTGAGAGCGCTCCGGAACGCTCTGGAGCGATTATCCCGATCCTAGCCCTGTTTTAAATAAACCCCGACAACCTGCCTGGCGTCTTGAAGAGACGAGACCAAAAAAAAAAATAACAGAATAAAAAGAGAATATCAAATAAAAAACAAAAAATAAACAAAAGAATTAGAAAAAAAAAAACAAAATAAAGACAAAAATAAAGCAAAAGGTATTTCGTAATGTTCGGCCTCTGGGGGGCCCTCACCGGGCCTCGGGACCGTCGAAAAAGGCGACTCAGGGTGAGAAGCTGGTCCCGGGAAAGCTGGTCGAGAGGTCGGAGGGCCGTGCCCCGAAAACGTCGGAACGCCGGATTTCTGGGCGAGAAATAGGGAGAGTTGCACCTCTAGAGCCCCAAAAGCCTCCTTTTGGACCCTACAGCCCTACAGGGCCCCTGCAGGGGGCGTGGAGGGCCCCTCTTCGAAAGCCCTCCTCCTCCTCCTCCTCCTCATCCTCCTCCACATGCTCCTCTTCATCCTCCTCATCGATCCTTCTCTTCGAGCCTTCTCCTGGTCCTCGTCCTCGATCCTCGATCCTCGATCCTCGATCCCCCTCCCCCTCCCCCTCCTCCTCCTCCTTCTCCTCCTCCTCCTCCTCCTCCTCCTCTCCTCCTAGCCCTACCTCCTCTCCTCCTCCTCTCCTCCCCAGGCCCCCTCCTCCCTCCTCCTCCTCCTCCTCCTCTCCTTCCTCCTCTCCATCCTCCTCCTCCTCCTCCTCCTCCTCCCCCTCCTCCCGTCTGCGTACGCCGCGACCCGGCGCCCCTGCAAGAGACACCTTCCGTGCTCTCCCCTCCTCATGCATCGCGTGCGCCGACGGGAATCGAAGCCCTAAATCGGGCGGCGATCGCTCGTGTGCGGTCGCTCCGAGAGAGCCCGGGCGCGAGCCTCCCTCGTCCTCACTCGTTTCGCTTCTCCCTCCCTCGTCCTCATATCCCTCCTCGTCCTCCTCCGCTGACTCCACCTCCTCCTCCCTTCCACAATAACTCCTCGTCGCTTCCCTCCCTCGTCCTCATCCTCCTCGTCCTCCTCGTCCTCCCTCTCCCTCCTCGTCCTCCTCGTCGCCTCCCTCTCTCTCCCGGGCTCGAGCCTCCTCGCCCTCCTCGTCCTTCTCACTTCCCGCGCCCCTCCCTCCCCTGGCCGTGCCGTGCTCCCGCGCTTCAAGTAGGCCGCGCCCTGCTGCGCGCAAGGCTGCCTTGGAGACCCTCGCCATCGCTCGCACGTCCATTCCCTGTGTTTCTGTTTGGTTTCGTTCGTGTTTTTTCCTTCCCGCCAAATGATCAAGGATGCTCCTCGATGGTCCTCGCCGAAGGAAAAATGCACACGTCCGAGCGATGCCGGGGACTCGTGCAATCGCTGTGGCCTGCCGAAGGTTCTGTCCGTGCGGCTATGTCTCTGGACTGCGCGTTGGGGGCGGGCGGAGCGGGGCCGTGCAGGGGCCTGTGGGACAGCCCGTGGGATGCGCCTCCGTCGGGGGACGCGCTCGGCAGTCCAGGGGGGCTTCTCAGGGAGCCGTTGCGGTGAACCCGACTTGCAAAGCAGAGAGAGATGTCAGGGCGGAGCTGGAAGCAAGGAGTCGAATGCCGGTTCCCGCGCTGCCCGCTTTCTGCATGAAGCCCTGCCTGGCTTCCTAAAGGGGGTAAGGAAGCGCAGGTGAGTGGAATAGAGAGAAGGGGAGTGAGGCAGGCCGAAGAAGGGGCTCGGGCCCGTCTTGGGGCTGGGGCCGTCTTCTCGCCATCGCTCGGACGTCCACTCCCTGTGTTTTTGTTCGGTTTCGTGCGTGGCTTTTTCGCCGAATGATCAAGGATGCTCCTCGATGGCCCTCGCCGAAGCAAAAATGCACACGTCCGAGCGATGCCAAGTCTTTGGGGAGCTGGGGCCATCTTGGGGAGCTGGGCGGCGAGCGCTGGCCGGCGTGGAGGCACGGGCCCAGCCGCCCGCTGTCGGCGGCGCTTGCGAGGGGGGTGGCACGAAGGGCTCCTTGGCTCGCTTGCGAAGGCGTAAGGGCCCCTTGGCGACGGCAGGGGCCTCCCTAATTAGGCATTTCGGGAGCCTCCCTGCGGGGCAACACCAATGGGGGCCTGGCACAGGGGGCGAGACATCGACCTGGAACCGGCGATGCATCGCCGATAGACCGGCGGCAGGCCCCCGATGGCGAGCTCGCACCTTCCTGGGCGGGGTGGGGCTACCGGCCCCTGCTCGGCGATCAGTGGGCGATTCGGGGTCGATGCACCCCCCCCCGGTGCACGTCCCCCCCTGTCGCTGCCCCTGACTTCCAGGAAGAAAAAGCCGCTGTGCCGCCCTGCGCCCGCCGCAGAGGCCCCTGCCACGAGAGGCGTGCCCTGGCGCCCGGCCTCGTCTGGTGCGCGGGGCCCTGTTGAGCAGGGACCGACCGTCCCGGCATTCCTATAGTCCTGCCACGAAATGTTCTTAGAACCCAGAAATGTTCTAAGAACGAAAGCAATGTTCTTGGAACAGATTCCCGATGTGTTAGAACAAGACAGTCCCAACCGGAAAAGTTCTAAGAACGTTTCGTGGAAACCACTGAAGGTCCTTAGAACATTGTTTGGTAGGGCTATAGGCGAGCAAGGACGCTTCGCCACTGCCAGACTCTAGTGCCTGGGGCCCTGGGGCTCCTCGGCGCCGCGCGCGGCACGGGCCCCGGGGCCCGGCACGCCCCCCCCCCCGTGGGAGACGCAGGGACAGAGGCCGCGAGGGTGCTCGCAGACCCCGAGGCACCCCCTCGCCGGCGGAGGGGCCGCTTCGAGCTGGCGGGGGCCTTCCCGGGAGGGCCCGGCGGCCTCTGCGCAGCCTGCCAAGAAGAAGCCGACGGGTGCTCGTCAACAAGAGGCGCCCGCCTTCCACAACCCCCGCGACAAAAGAGCTGGACGGGTCGATTCGGCAGCCCCCCCCCCCGCTCGCTCGGGCGTTCGGGCCCTCGCTCCCCCCGCTGCCCCTGCGAGGGACGAGGCCTGCGCCCTCCAGAGACGCCAGCCTCGCCTCCCGCTCCGAGGCGCGCTGGTCGGCCGCGGCCGCGGCGTCCGCCGCGTCCTCGCCGGGCCGGAAGCGCCGATGTCGAGCACGCGCTGGCGGGATGCGAGGGACGAGGCCGAGGTGGAGGACGACGGGGGACACCTCGGCCGAAGTCTTCCCACAGCAACTCCGCAGGGCCCTGGGCGGTGCAGACTGGGGTCACATGTCGGCGACGAGTGGGCGATTGGGGGTCGATGCGCCCCCGCCCCCATCGCATGTGGGGTCGATGCCTCCGCCCCCCTCTGAGCCTATCCCCCCCCGAACATTGCCCCGGATGGAATCGCACGGGGGGATGATAGAGTTGGACGACGGGGGGGAGGCTAGTCAAGGGGGGTTGGCGAGTGGATGCGCGCGACCAGGAGGAGGTCGGGGGTGATCTGGGGGGCACATCCGGGGCGGGGATTGATTCATACGGCCAATGTCGCTACTGCGGCAAACTAGTATCTGGCGACGATGCCACCTTTGTTGAACCGCTCCATGTGTCCTCGGTGCGCTATCATAACTTGGCAAGGGACACATAAACAACTGCCACACATAACAAGCCAGGCGACATGAGAGAAACTCGAACTAGCCGCCGCCTGGGGAATCGATGATCGGCGACGTCGGCAAGCGGTGGATGTGGATAGATTCGGCCCCCGGGGGCCAACATCTCCACACATCCAACACCCGCTGGGCTTCCAGGGCGTCGCCGGTTCCACAGGTGGATATGGACTCATCTCCGCCTCGCATCGGATCGGACGACACGGGGGAGAAGGGGTGTGAATGGTGGGGGGGGGGGGGGGGGGGGGGGGGGGGCGAATCAGCTGAAGCGAATCAGCTCAACAGCAGGGTCCGGAGAGAAAATCCCCGCAAGTGGGGCCGAACTTTCCGCCCCCCTCCTTTCCCCTTCTTTCTTTCTTTCCCCCGACGACGCCTCCCGGCGCCAACACAGCCAGGGAAGCGCCCGGCGGCGGGGCCGCAGCCGGCGGACTGTCCGAGACAACGCCGGAGAGGACCGACGGCGGCGGGGCCGCACGACTCACGGACGAGCGCAGCGCAGCCAGAGGCGCGGCGAGGACGAAGACAGCACCTGCTCCCTTCGCTCGGCCGCCGGAGCGCGGGGGGGGGGCCACGGCAGCGGAAAACCTGGTGGTGTGGGGGGGGGGCGTGCGGGAGGAGGACTTCGGGCGCGGCCTGGCCGACCCCCAGCAAGCCATCCTCTGCCGTGGCGTTCCCCTCGCCTCGCAAACGCCCCTCCGGCCGCCGCATCCGTCTTGGGGCGAGGCGAGGGGGGCGTCGCGGAAGGGGATGGTTTGCTAGGGGTCGGTTAGGCCGCCCCTGAGGACTTGTTTCTCGAATTCAATCCACTGGGTGTCCCTGACCCGAAACACAAAAGGAAAAACAACAGGTTCTCTGGAGAGGAGCAGCTGCTTCTGCGTTGCAGTACAGATGTCCCTGACCCTTTGGGAGGGGACCTACGATAGGAGAACCAAGCAATAATGTTTGTTGCGCAATTGCGTCGGACGAAACACCCATACGTTTTGGGGGTATCCCTAAACACGGGGATCTATGGACGTTAGGCCACGAGTTCATTGTGTTATTCGGGTTAGGGTCGTATGTCGTTTCGTGCTGTGTTCGACACAAAAAAAAACCAAATACGCTGATTGCAGTCGGACCTAGGACATACTAACACCCTTTCAGAATTGATTCCCTCCACCTGCCAAACCACACACAGAGATAATCCAAAGCTACAGACGCGAAGACCATCAAGACACCCTCCCCGAATCGACCCCGATCTTATACCCCGGTCCGACTGGATTGGGTTGGAAAAGAAGCCACATTTTGGAGTCACGCGACCACCTCGGGCGCCGCTGATGGGCACACTTTCCACACCACGACCATATGAAGGAGAGGGAGGAGAATGAGGAGGACCTTTGAATTTTTTGTTGAAAGAAGAGAGGAGGAACAGAGGGTGAGGGCCACAGCGGTCGGGCGAAGGAGCCGCACGCTCCGACCTGCAAGCAGCCCCGGCTGTAACCACCGCCCTTTCTCGCTCAAAAAAACACCGCCTGGACCGTCCTGGGAGGCCCCGCGTAACTCGGGAACTTGAGGACCTGGTCATCATCCCTTCTCCTTCCTGCATGTGGCAGCGGTGGTGGAAAGGTTGCCCCATCGGCCGCGGCTCCTTCTCGCGCCGCTCGTTCGCCTGAGCCAGCATGCCGTGGAGCTCCTGGCCGCGGGCCGCGGGCCGCGGGCGGGGAGGGGGCGGGCCGAGCCGGGGGGAAGCCGTGGCTCGAGCTCGCACCCCTCGAGCTCCTCCCTCGAGCGGACTCCTCGAAGCCACGGCCGAGGGCAGGACTCGAGCTCTCATCCCTCGAGCCTATCCCTCGAGCTGATACCCCCAAACTCGTTGCCCAGCCAGCCTCGAACTTCCCCCCCCATCCGCGGTAGCCGTTCCAGGGGAGCCGGCGGGGCCCCCTTGCGCTGCCCGCTAGGGGCCTGATGAGGGCCAGATTTGCAACACCTTCGGCATGTGGGCCAGATTTGGGCCGGGCACACCTCTTCACAAGGGAGACGAGATCAGCAAGGAGGGGGAGGAGTAGCAAGAAGGGCGAGGAGAATCAGGAGGAAGGGCCGCGGGCGTTCCAGATACGGCCCAAATGCAGGACAAATTGGTTTGAATGGCGCCGCCCAAGGCTCCCGTAAACGGACATTGGACTTATTCCTAAGATCGACAAGCCAAAGGCGACGACAACATCAGGGATGTGCCTCCAGAAACGGAGGTGATCCTTGAGATTGGCACCGAGATAAGGAGATACCAATCAATTTGATAATTAGGAAAAGTGTCTGGCTGGTGAGATGATGTCTTGATGCGACTGGCTCAAGATGCGTTCCATGACTGTCCGGGTAGCTAGCGGGCATCCTCTCAAGAACCCGTCTGGAACATGAACGAGATCCTGCAAATCTTGGACACCTTGAAAGTATAATCATTACTACCTCTTGCTCCGTCGAGGGGATATGTGGTGGGGGACTAAGTATTGGGGGCCAAACTGCAACGCGTCACCAATGCACTAGCCGATGTCGGGACGGAAACAAACGAATTCCAAATCACGCTGCATCGACGATGCATCGGCAACGCGCCGTGATTTCGGGGCCTCCTTCCCTATGGCTTCATCTGGCCGATTCCGGGAACCCTGAACCCAGAAACGGTTCCATCTCTTGGGGGCGCACTTTGTACTTCCTTTTTTTCTTGACGCGACTCCCTTCGCCTAGGAAGTTTAGCGGGGGCACCAGCACAACCGTGAAAACGACGCGGCGCGTTTCAAAATCGGAAACGAGGCCCTGGAACGGACAGCGGGTGCGGAGCGGCAGGCCCGACTGGCCAGCCTTCAGCCAGCCTTCCGCCAGCCTTCTGCCAGCGCTCCGCCAGCAGAGGCGGCCTCGTTTTTCGGCGGTGCACAGACCTCCCTTTAGTAAACCACCCTTCAGTGACAACGGCCTGGGACCGAAACCGACGGGCCCGGACCCGCAAAAAACGACGGCCGCGGCGCCCCCTCGCGAGCCGAACACGGTTCATTCCCGAATCGACGTGTCGGGGTAGGCGCTCTGTCCGCCCCCCGAGCTCTGCCTCCCCCGAGCTCCCGCCTTTACCTCGAGCTTCACCTCCCCCGAATCGCCTCTACCACGGCGATTCCCCAATCGACGTGCCGATTCCCCCGAGCTCTGCCTCCCCCCGCCTTCCGCCGACCTTCCGCCGCGGAGGAGGCAGGGCAGCTCCTCCGAGCCTCCCAGGGCAGGGGGCCCTCTGCTGCCGCGCCCCGTCTTGGGGGGGGGGGGGGGGGGGGGGCGCCCCGCCCCCGGGCGGAGAGGGGCGCCTCGTGGGCGCTGCGGCGCCTGACTATCTCGGGGATGGACAGACCCCCTTTAGTAGAACGTGGTTTAGTGAAAACGACCGGAGGCCCAAACCTGGCGGGCGCAAGCCTGGAAAATAACGGCCACGGCGCCCTCTCGAGAACCGAAAACGGACAATTCACTAATCGACGTGTCACTGTTGGGGGTTCTGTCCACCCCCGACTATCTCGGAGCGTGCGTGGAGAAATGGAAGGACACGGAGATCGGGTGCAATTTGCAATGTCGGAGCACTACCGCAATCGCGACGGCACGAAGAGAAGGAGGGGTAAAGATCGCCTCGACAGAGAGACGTCGAAAGATCGGGACTGAACGGATTCACACCGAAAGCGCCCCGCCGTGCCACGGGGAGAGAAACGTGGAGAAGAGAGCCCGGGCGTGGAATACTGCCTGTGTTGTCTTGCTGGGTTTCTGTCATGCTCTTCTCCCCCTAAACCTCCCCTCTCAGTACGCTCAGCCGCACACCGCAGCGTGTATCACCCCCCCCCCCGGCTCCCTGATGATCCTCAGAACGCGCGCTAGTGCCAAGGTGTGCAAGTGCCCGCACAGTGCGACGCAGGCGGCGTGACTGAGCCAGGATCAGGCTGCGTGCTATCGATGGAGCTGACAGGGGCAAACGCACGTTGGGACAGCACACCTCCAGAGGATCATCGACCCTCCACAGGAAGGAATAACCTCTGGAGGTTATCCGGATGTCTGAGAGGGCGTCGTCTGTGCACCTTTTACTCGTGCAAAATCCCATTCTCCCGCAAACTCTGGAACCAGCCCCCCCTCTCGAACATCTCCTCCCTTCCCTCAGAGGACGCTCTCTCGAACGTCTGGACACAGACCCTTGATCCTCCTGCTCCTCCCCTCTCCCCTCTCGCGAATTGAAACAACGGCAGCTCGAAATCGGTCCCCTGACCCCTCCCGGGGTTCAAGCGCACCAATCTTTCGAGCTGCGCCCAGCCGTGGCGACGAGGGGGTCCCCCGAACGCCGACTGTCGTTGACTCAACTTTCGCCCTCCTCTGGTCGGGGCGGCCTGGATGATAGCAACCCCTCAACGGAACCGCGAGCCTCCCCCAAACTCCTAGAGGCCACCTAGACGGGGCCGAGGGGATGGGGTCGGAGGATCGCGCCGCATCGCCGATGCATCGGCGACGTTGGCGATAATTACAATGGCGGCGCAGGCGTGGAAAACATCGGACTACACGTCGAGCCGCATCGCCGATGCATCAGCGGTGCGGCGCGATCCTCGGACCTCATCTGCTCCGAGCCCATGTGTCAAGACAGCACAACTCGCCCCCAACCCCAGCCAGAACTGGTGGTCCAGTGGTCCAGTTTTTGGGCTGGAGGGTGAGGGTGGTATGCTGGCCCCGAGCATCCTCTTGAAAACCACCTCCGCCCCAAGCCATGACTCCCCGGATCACCAGGTCGGCAGTGAGCGTCCTGGCTGGGGGTGCGGGCACTTTGCTGTGCTGTCCTCAATCGGCGGTGGACAAACCTCCCTTTGGTAAACCTCCCCCTAGCAAAAACGGCCTAGGACCGCAACCGACGGGCCTGGACCCGCAAAAAACGACGGCCGCAGCGCCCCCTCGCGAACCGAAAACGGCCGATTCCCTAATCGACGTGTCAGGGTAGGAGGTCTATCAACCTCCGACTCAACCTGGGAGGCCCCCGAGCGCCTTGACCTGGGCCGTCACGTCGGCGGCGAGGGCGCTTCTGGCGGCGGCCTTGCGGGCGGTGCCAGACGGGAGGTCGGGAGGCAACGGCCGGGCGGATGATATGCCGACCACAAACGGTCGTTCAACCCGACCCGAACAGACCAACATCAGGGCTGAACCTAAACGGTGTTTTTCGTTTTCGTGTTGTTTTCGTTTTCACTCGCTTTTGCCTCGAATCCGCCTTTACCGCAAAACGAAGTCGAAACGAAAACGGCCCGCGGAATCGCCGGAAGCACCGTTTAGGTCCAACCATGGTTCAACCCGACCCGAAGAAACCAACATGAGTGGTTTCCCGTGAGCGCTTGGAGGAGTTGGGCATTTTCACCGTTTCAGGTTGCTGTCAGCTCAAGGCGGCACAACGAACCCTTCAAGATTGCCTCAAGGGGGTGCCAAGAGGGTCTCACGATGGCCCAAGAGAAACCCCCGATGGCACGATCGGAATCCGAGGGGGCCTCAAGACGGCCCAATGGGGCCTTCGGAGCGACCCGAGATGGTCTCAGAAGGCCCTTCTGCGGCCCACGACGGCGCCAAGACGGCCCCACGGCACCCGCCGTCTGGCCATGGCCAAGAGGGCCCCAAGAAGGCCCGAGAGAGCTCCACGCTGGCCTTGGAGGGACCCAAGATGGCCCGAGAGGGCCCCAAGACGGCCCCGCAGCTGCATGGAATCGGCGATACCTCGCCGATCGATCGACGATGTGCCCCCGATGGCGAACCCGCACTCCTGGGCGGGGTGGGCCATCCCAAATCGCCGATCACTGGGCGACTGGGGGTCGATGCGTTCCCCCTCCCCCAACGTTGCCCACGAAGAGAACAAAGGACGCGTCGGGCTTTGCGACCCGGGCCAATGCCAACCCGGGTCAGTCAGGCTCTGCAGGATATTGCAGAATCCCGCAGGATCATGCAGGATTCTGGGCGCTGACCCGGGTCAGGGCAACCCTGTCTTTGCAGGATCCTGCCAGCTCCGGCGCTCTGGCTGACCTGCATTGGCCCCCGCAGCAAGGCTCCCGGGGACGGAGAGAGAGAGGATGAATCGCAGGACAACTCGCCCCCTGACCACCCAGCAGCCCCGCACCCAGAGGGCAGACACAAGTACCCGTCGGTCGGAAGAAGTAGGTAAAACCATGAAGTGATAAGGTGGATCGAAGAGATTTGTTTCACGCCCTCCCAGAGAATTGCGCAACACGGCAACAGCACATCGATTCTTGAAGTGGCAGGGCGCTTGAAAAAACACGGGTCTGGGAATCCAAAGATATCGACTTTCAACGTCATAGGGAAACCAAAAGGTATCCATACCTCTACTTCCCGGACCTCTCCCGGGGCGCGTTCTGACAATAATTTCGAGGCGAATCCAGCGGTGGCGACGAGGGCCCCCTAGGAGTCTCCAAAAAGAGGGGAAAATGAGCTAAGGGTAGCGGTATGGGTACCTTTTCCTTCACTGAGAGCAGGCTCACGTTGTTCCGATCGCACTCAAGGACCACATCCCAAACATAATTTCGAGCACCCAGAAAAGGATCGAAACGATGTCTGTCCGACACGCTGGCCAGGTGCCGAGCGAGTGTCGCCTCCAACGGCCCGACACGTGCAAGCCCTCCAGTTCCCATACTTCCTCAGGGCTCGGAAATCTGGCTGAAAATCGAAGGTGAAGTAGGCTGGAACATCATGAAGCCAGGTGAAGAGAAGGAAGAGGAGGAGGAGGAGGAGGAGCAAGAGGAGGAGAGGCAGGGGGGGGGGAGCAGGAGGAGGAGGAGAGGCAGGGGCAAGAGGAGCAGGAGGAGGGGGAGGAGGAGGAGGAGGAGGAGGAGGAGGAGGAGGAGGAGGAGGAGGAGGAGGAGGAGGAGGAGGAGGAGGAGGAGGAGGAGGGGAGGAGGAGGAGGAGGAGGAGTAGGAGGAGGAGGAGATAGGCACCGTGCCGCGAGGCTCTGGGCGCACAGCCAGCGGCGGCGCCAAGGCCGAGCTGGCCGTCCCTCGGCGCACCGTGGGCCCCTCAGTGCGCCGAGGGGCCGAGGAAGCCGTCCCTGGCGGCGCGCTTCCTGCAGGGAACAGCCCTCCTCCTCCTCCTCCTCCTCCTCCTCCTCCTCCTCCTCTTCCTCCTCCCCTTATGTTTCTGCTTCTGAATTCCTCCTCCTCCTCCTCCTCCTACTTCTCCTACCGCTGGGTTTGGAGAAAGCTGCTCGAGTTGGTCGCTCGATGATCGACCCCCAACCAGGCAGCAGGGCCGCCCAAGCAGGGCACCGAGTGCCAGCTCTCCGGCGCCCGGGAGCCAATTGTCGGCCACCTCTGCGCGCCACCGCTCGACAAACACCTTGCCCCGAGTGGTGGCCGTCGAGGTCGCTGCGGGCAAGAATTATATCCACATCCAGTGCGTCTTGGAGTCTTGGGCTCTCTTCCCCAGAAACCGTAGACGCACTGTACATGGATAAAAATTCGCCGGCCCAACGGGCCAGGGCGTGCTAAGATCTCCGGTAACTGGTTAACAGTATTCATTTCTAGTTCGCGCGCGCGGGGCGGCCCCTGGGGGTCCCCCGGCGAAAAGTACCCAGATCAACGCCCGACCAAGTCTACTCAGAGATGGTTTTCCTTCTGGGTGCGGCCTCTCAGGCTCCCCAGAGCGCGCTCAGAGTGCCCCAAGAGGCCCCCAAGACTGCCCAAGAGGCCCCCGAGACGCCCAAAGAGCGCTCGAAGACGCCGAAGATGACCCCAAGACGGCCCAAAAGGCCCCCAAGACAGCCCAAGAGGCCTCCAAGACGCCCCAAGAGCCTTCCAAGAGGCCTCCGAAGAGAGCCCCAAGAGGCCAAAATCGTTGATTTTCATTTGTTGTTTTCGATGTTTTTTGTGTTCTGGCTTTTTCGGCTTCCGGACGCTCCAAGACGGCCCAAGAGGCCCCCAAGACCGCTCCAAGACGGCCCACGAAGCTCCCAAGACGGCGCCGAAACGACCCAAGAGAGCCCTCAAGACGGCCCAAGTGCCGCCCAAGACGGACCAAGAGGCCCCAAGACGGGCCCAAGAGGGACTCAGGAGGGATACCGAGAACTCAAAAATGGAGCCCTCCGTCCCAGAAGGCGCCCAGGAGGTCCCAAAGAGGCCCCAAGAGGCCTCCAAGAGGCCCCAAGATGTCGCCAAGAGGCCCCAGGAGACTCCCAGGAGGCCCAAAAGAAGCCCCAGAAGGCTTCAAACATGTCTCCCAGGCGCCCCCGAACGGCCTCTCAACAGACCCCAAGAGGCCCCCCAAAGAAGCATCTTGACGACGACTCTATTTCGCCCCATCGAGAGACGACCCCCAGGGAACTGCTTCACCATCAAAACTCCCCACGCAACGCGTCCGAACGACACCCGCCCCCAAGAGCGCAACATGGGCAACGAACACACAGACAAAAACCAGCGATGCCATATCACGGGCCGGCGGAATGAGCGAAGCGATTCAATAAGCCCCAAGAGGCTTGATGTTATCCATATCGAGTGCGCCTCGGCGTTGCGGCACCTCTTCCCGAAAAGTCCAAGACGCTCTGGATATGGATATCAGTACTGCCCGCAATCGCAGCGGCGACCTCCAAAACCGACCCAAAGGTCGGTACGGGGTCGGGGATCGGGCATCGACGAGTGCCGCTGGAGCCGCGCGAACGCTGAGATGACCAATCGGCAAGGGAACTACCGCCTGGGGGCGACAAACGGTCAAGTCAACACTCGGGGTCACCAAGGATCCACTGAGCGACGAAAAGAAGCGGGTCGCACGCCCGATGGCATCGCGACCCGAGGCGGTGGCTTACGCGGGCCGCCGGCGAGGCACGCTAAACTGGAAACGAGGGTGCCTGCGCGCGAGTTTACGCGGGCAGCTTACGCGCGAATTTCGGCACATTCGACCCCGTTTTCTCCCGTCGCTCACCTGGAGAGGGAACTAGGCCGACCCGAACGCTGACCAGACACTTTCTCTGATCCCGATCCTGGAGCGTAGCTGCACCAGAGCCGTCTCCGACTCCAGGATGGACAGCGCCTGCTTGAGACCAGCGACTTCGCTCTCTCTGCGGGCCTTGCGCTCCTCGTAGCTCTCGGGCTTGGCGATGCAGCGGTCCTTCACCTGGGCGTAGTACTCCAGTACCGCCTTGAGTTGGGTGTCCTTGCCCGCGCGATCGGAAGTCATGTCTGACACGCTCTTGTCAAGAGACTTGAACTCCTTCGTCTTGTACACCACGCCCTGGTCCTTCATGGTCTTGGTCACCTTGTTCTCCTGGGTCGTCCTGTCGTACACGGCCTGCGCATCGTCCTCCTCGGCCTCCTCCGTTGCGAGGTTCTTCGCAAAATCGCTCTCCACGACCTCCAAGATCCCGATGATCGGAGGAAGGCCGGTTGAGACAACCTCGGCTCTCCGGCGCAGCCCCGATCGCTCAAAACCGGTCCCTGGACCCCTCCCCGGGTCCATCCTGACCTGCTCCTCGACGCGGACCCAGCGGTGGCGACGAGCAGTCCCGGGAGGCCTCGAGATGACGAAGGATCACCGGGGAGTGCCGCCGTTGTCTTCCCGGGCCCCCCCCTCCGAGATGATGCTGCCGCCGGCCCCCGACGCCATGGAGTGGCTGACCGGCTTCGCGGGCTGCGCGGCGTCGGCGCCGCCCTGGAGCATCGAGGCGGCGCCGCCGTAGTAGGCGCGAAGCACGGACAGGGCGTCGCGCACGCCCTTCAGCCCGAGGGTCAGGTCAGCCTTGGCCTGGAGGTACGCGGCGTTCTCGGCGCTGCGGATCTTGTCCATCTCCGCCTGCAGCTGGGCAAGTGCAGCAAGCTCGGCCTGGAGCTCCTTGACCTCCGCCTTCAACATCGCCGACGTCGCTGCGGCCTTGTCGATCTTCGCGGTGAGGGCAGCCATGTCCTCCTCGAGCTCGCTCTTCTTCTCCTCCGTCTTGGCCATCTGATCGTCGCAGTAGGCTTTCTCCTCGGCGGCCGCGGACGCCTCTGACTCAAGCTTCGCGATGAGGTCCTGAATGAGCCCCTTTACTTTCACAAATGGGTCCTCGCCAGCGGCGCTGCCAAGACGCACTACGGCTTGGATGCGCGACGCCAACTGTGCGAGGGCAGAAGAATGAAACTTCTTTGCCAACTGCTGCACCACGTTGACGACCTCCGCCTTCTTCAAGTCCACGGACGTCTGGATGCCCGTGGAAAGCTGCACGAAGGAGTAGGACTGCTCCACGGCCCCGGATGAAGTGTCCTTCAGAATTTTCACGGCCTCGGCGATAGCTTTGAGCTCGGCGTTACGCCCGGCCACGCTCGCCTCGTGGTCTGCTGCCACTGTCATGCAATCCGTCTTGATGCTCTCCAAGGCGGCGTTCGCATCAGCGAGCGCCTTCACGGTCATTTCGAGGTCCTTCGTGTCCGCTGCCTTCTCCTCCTCCGCCGCACTCTTCGCAGCCTTCTCGTCCGCCATGTCCTTGCTGTCGTTGGTGTTCGCATCGTCCAACGACTGCTTCAGCATGGCATAGTTCTGCTTCGCGTTGGACTCGGCCTTGCGGAGGGCGGCCAAGTCTTCCTCGGCCTTCTCCTTGAGGTCCTCGAGGACATCCAAGATCTCAGTCGAGTGCGTCTTGTAGACGGTCGCGGAGGGCGCTCCCGTAGGGTCCTCCTCACTGTCGGCCGCCTGGCCAGCCTGCACGAGCGCCGTCAGCTTCTGCTTGCTGGCGCTGTTGAAGGACGCAGCCTCCATGACGGCGGCGAGCCCCTTCATGAGGCCCTCGAAGCTGGACGTGTCCACCTGCGCGAACGCCGCAGGGTTCTTGGACATCTCCTTGGAGATGATGCTGATCGCCCTGCCGAGGGTGTCGATGGAGTCCGCCAGCTCCGCCTCGTTGGTTGCAAACTCACCAGCCTCTTTCTCGCGGATGGCTGTAGCATCGGCCAGGTCCTCAGTATGGGGCATGCATGATGATGTATACTACAACTTCATGCCAACGGATATTATGCAATGAGTGCTTCCATAAACGTTCCTGAATACTCCTCCCTGACATGTGTTTTCCCACTGCCTCTACCTCATACGGCTTACCGCTACGCCTTCCTGCTCCTCCCATGTGCCCCCACTGACGACTGGAGAACACACATCGGAACTTCATGCCAGCACACGCATGAAAGATACGCGTCTGTATTTCTTCCTCGTGAAGCCTCCTTGCTGTCTTGCTTCCCGGTGTCTCCTCCTCCTCTTCCTCCTTTCCTCTGCTCTGCCCCGTTGCCCCCGCCTCCTTTGCCTCTTCTTCCTGCCTGGTCCTTGGTCTGCGTGGCGATGCTCGCGGCGAGCTTCTCGATCGTGCTGTCGGACGTGGCGATGTCGCTGGCCAGCTTGCCGATAGAGGCCTGGAGGAACAAGCGACGACACGCACATGCCCATCGGTCGGAAGAAGTAGGTAGAGCAATCAAGTAGGAAGGCGCTGAGGGTAGATTGGGTGTGCGCCCGACCCCCCTAAGGAGGACGGAAAAGGCGAAGCCACTCGATCATTGAAGTAGGACGGCGCTTAAAGTAGATTGGCATCTGCGAATCTAAACACATACCGACTTTCAAAGACCGAGAGGCGGCTGCTCAGAAGCCCTCCGGTCCTCCCAGACGTGTTCTGCGTCGTCGGGGAACGCCTCGAGAACTTCTCAGCAGGCTGGAGGACTTCCGAGCCTTCTGAGAAAGCCTTCTGAGAAGGCCAAACCTGGCCATCGCTCGGACGTCCATTTCCTGTTTTTTTTTCGGTTTCGTGCGTGGCTTCTTCGCCAAATTATCAAGGATGCTCCTCGAGGGTCCTCGCCGAGAAAAAAATGCACACGTCCGAGCGATGCCAGGAAACCACCCCCTCCCCTCTCACTTCCCCCTGGGGCTCGCCGCCGATCTTCTCCGAGCGGCCTCGAGGTCGCCCTTCTTCGACTCGCCCGTCGTGATCTCGTTGCGCTTGGTGCTCGCGGCATCGTCGCACCAGCTCGTGTACTCGACGAACGCCTTCTGCTCCGCCTCGCCCTCGGAGGCCACCTTGGCGTACAGCGAGTCGAGGAGCTCCAGCACCTTGCCCAGGGGATTCTGGCCGTCGGTGGCCGCGTGCGCCTGAGGGGGAACGCGAGACGAAGCCAGGACGAGTACAAACTCGGGCGGGGATCAGGCGAGCATCTCTGAGATCCGGCGGCTCTGGAGCACGTGTCGGGTGCCGAGGCCTCCTCAGAGCGCTCCAGAACGCTCTAACAGTGTCCTGGAAGGCTCTGGAACGGATGTATCCTCGACCTGGCTACGTCCAAAACGTCAGGGGGGGGACCGGCTCAGAGGGGGGGGGGAAACATTGCCCTGGGATCGGCGATACATCGCCGATAGATCAACGATAGGTCCCCAATGACAAATACGCACGGCCATGGGCGGAGTGGGTTATCCGCAGTAATTAGTGGGCTATCCGCAATCGGGGATCGATGGGCAATCGGGGATCGATGTATCCCCTGCTGAGCTTATTCCCCCCCAACGTTGCCCCTGAACCTCCCGCGCTCCCCGTTGTTCTCCCCCTCCGGGACCCATCTTCTAGAAGGGCAGAACAAATGGCACAAACACAATTCCCTGGGGCCCGCGCGGATTTCTTGGATCGGCGCTGGACCACCCCGCCCTGGCTTGCGGAGCGGCCGGGCGCGGCGCCGGAGGCGCCGCCACAGGGGGGCCAGCGCCGATCCAAGAAATCCGGGCGGACCTCCGAGAAATGATATCTTCACGCAGTTTTCGTTTGCTCCTTCGGGCGCTGATGCATGGGCAGGCGTTTTTCAAAAAAGGGCGGGAGGGGGGGCGGTGAAGAGGCACCCTGCGTGCCTCTTCGGGGCACCCGGCGCCCGGAAGGGCCCAGTTCGGGCCCCCGAGGTGCGCAAATGGCGCACCCGTCTCCCCCCCCCCTAACCCTTGCTCCTCGCCCGCAGGCAACGCCCGCTTTCTGTTGACGCCCCGGAGCGCCGGAAGTGCGCACCCTGCCAGCAGAGCCACGAGGGCGGCCGCCTGGGAAGCCTGAGGGGCAACGACTGGGGGGACTGGCATGGGGGGGATGCATCGACGTGGAATCGGCGATACATCGCCGATAGATCGGCGATAGGGCCCCTGTAATGAATCCGCACCTTCCTGGGCGGGCTATCAGCCCCTACCGGCGATCAGTGGGCGATTGGGGGGTCGATGCATCCCCCCTATGCCTGTCACCCCTATCGTTGCCCCTGGAAGCCTTCATTGCGGCGCGCGGGCGGGGAGACCCCAGCAGAGGGGGCAGAGACGCGAGGACTCTCGCGCCCAAAGGGGGCAGTGTGCGCGGCGAGTGGGCTCGAGCCTCAGGCCAAGAAGGCAACATTGAGGAGCAGGCAGGAAGGGTAGAGTTAGCCTGAGGTCGGGCATGTCCTCCTGCAGGGGGATGTTGGAAGAACCATGGAAATTGGTCAACAATGCTCAACATTGTGAACAAAAAATCGAAACATCGCCCCCAAACCACGTTTCCGATGTTTTTGAATACTCCTGCCGTAGAGAAACATGCCCGACCAAAAAATGGCCAGGCCGCGCGAGCCGGAGGGCCCCGACCATCCCGACCCCATCCTGGAACCCGCGACCCAGGAGGTCGAGACGGGAGGTGGGGGTGGCTCTTCGGGGCCCAAACATGCAGAAACAAAAACCCGCCCCCCCACCCCCAGTCCCGACCCCTGGCATCGCCGGCTCGGGGGCCGGAGTCGGGGTCATCCCCCCCCCCCCTCCCACAAGACAACACGTCTTTTTTTACCGTCCAGCGAAGCCCAGTGGCACAGGAGGACACAGCAGAGAGGGAGGAGGAAGGGGGAGCGGGAGACCGGGGGGAACATCCGCAGCCTCCGGGGAGGGCGAGAACGAATTCTCTGTATATAGTTAGTCAGGCGGGCCGGGGCGCTCCTGCAGCCGGCGGCGAATCGCCGCGCGCCAATCCGCTGGACTGGAGCGTGTGCCCGTCCCCAGCAGGCAGAAAAGGCGTGCGAGCGCGGCCTCGCCTCCCTCCCGCCGGGCTCGGTGCGGGGAAAGCTGCGCGGGGGGCGCGGGGGCCTCCGACGAGCGTGGGCGGGTGTGGAACTACCGAGCCACATCGAACGGCAACAATGTCATGCGCAGCAGCAGTGGCTGGAAGTTCGCGGTGCTGCCGTCGAGCTGTCGCTTCGCCAGCCTGCCGAACTGTTGCATGCCATGCCTCCAGGGACCCGCTGACCTCAACCTCCCGGGCGCGCAAGTTCTCATGCGGATCGTGGAGCGCCTTGAAAGTTCGAGAGACTGAGTAGGGAACATGTCAAATCATCCAGGGCCAGGCGCCCCCATGAGCGAGGGAAAGGGGCTTTTCTTGCAGTGGGCAACGACCTGCCAGGGGCGAAGAAGGGGCAGCGGGCAGGAGGGGAAGGACGCGCAGGATCCGCTCGACTCTGCTTTTTTGCCACGAGGTCTGCACCTTTCCTGCCATGTGCGGACACCGGTGCAGAGGCATGCAGGAGCAAGCGCACACAGCTAGGAGAAGGCAGAGCGGAGATCGGGGCCACGCCGATGCAGTATGACGCTACAGCATGTGGAAGACGGACTGGTCAACTGTGCCACGCACCAACCGCACACGACGTGCTGGAGAGTGCCGATGGACAGGCGGACACAAAGCCCTTCCGAAGGCAGCCGTCCTGAGATCTTCGGTGAACGGTCCGAAGATCCCCGAAGAGAGAAGCACACAGTGAAACCGGCGGCACGAAGCCCAAGCCACGACCGCTCAAGAAGGCCCCCGCCCTGGAGCGGCGACGTCCGCCTTCGGGCCACGCGGTCCAAGAAAAGACTCGTGAACGCACTCGTCAGAAGGTCACACGCTGCAAAAGGAGAGGACGAAGCGGAAGAGGAGGGAGGAGGAGAATGGCGAGGAGGATGCCGCGCGGATGGCGAGAAGGAGGATGGCAAGGAGAGGATGGCGAGGAGGAGGAGGAAGAGGAGGAGGGGGAGACAGAGGAGGAGGTGGAGGAGGAGGAGGAGGTGGAGGGGAAGGAGGAGGAGGCGACAGAGGAGGAGAAGGAGGAGGAGGAGGAGGGGTGGGAGAAAGAGGAGGAGGGGGAAGAGGACGGGGAGGGAGAAGAGCGGGAGAAAAGAGGCAGGTGTGAGCGGGGGCGGGGGAACGGAGGAGGGCCAGGGAGGGGGGCCGGCCCCGCCCGCAGGCAGGGCCGCGCGCGAGCCCTGGACTGGCTGGAGCTGGGGGTGGGGCTGGTGCGCGCCTCGGCGCCGCACGTCGCTCCGGGCCCTCTTCTTCGGCGGTGGGTGGGCGCGCGGAGGCAAAGGCAGCCCACCCCGAACCCATCCCCCCCCCCGCTGACAAAGAGGAGGATCGGAGGCCTGGAAATGGGCACCAACACCAACACAGAGGGTTGCCTCCATAGAGGGAAGATGATCCCAGATTGGCGGTGTTGGTGGCAACATTTCGGCCACCTCGGCAGCCAGAAGATTGCCACCGTCACCGAGATCGGGAGCTTCTTCCCTCGGTGGAGGCACGCCGCCGATGTTGGTGTTGGTGTCAACCTCCAGGCCTGCGAGAGGGGGCCAACAAGATGCCAGGACCGCTGCTCCACGGCCCTCTCCTGGAGGGCGCTCCGACCCAGGACTCCGACGACGAATCCCGCGGCGGCGACGGGGGCCTCCGCGAGACCGAGCAACGGGGGGAACACGGGCGAATGGTAGCGGTGTGCACCCTGCGAAATGCTTAAGAAATCATGGGTTAAGAAATTCATAGTCTCAGATCTTGAATAAAAACCAGAACTTCTATTCAAATCTTAGGATTTATATTGAAACGTTAAGAATAATCGAGACTCTGGCCAAAAAACTTCAGTTTTCTTAAGCATCGCCTAGGGTGCAGGCACCCATGCCTCCTCTGACTGACCGTGCCGCTGGCTGTCGCGAAATCCACCGCTGACCGGCGAACGGCCTCGGCCCCGCCCCAAGCCTGATATCGCGCACGTCCCACTCCAGACAGGTTGTGGATGAAAAATTAAAGATACAGAAATAGCAACAGTGGCATAAAAAAACACACATGCATTTGATATAGTATGCAAAATATCAAAATGCACAAATTCAATGTTATAGCACAGCCTGCAGACATAGAGTCATACAATATATCCCACTTGAAAGAACCGCAGACACACATCCCCTGGCATATATGTTTTTCTTGAATATTCCTCCTGTAGAGGGACATGCCCGACTTAACCTAAAGCCTTCGCTCCCGCTCGCCCAACGCCGCCCGCGCTGGGGGCGACGCGAGCCTGCCTCGCCGCGCGCGTGGACCGCACGGAGCGAACACACACAAAGGCGACGAGACCCAATGTACGTACGACGTATATCAGGAGGGTGGCAATTGTGACCCAACTGGGGGGTGCAGAAGGATGCCCTAGAAGGGCGTTTTTCGGGATCGCGCCCCTGGGTCGCGCCCCACCACCACCCGCCCGGCAACGCACGCGTGGCCAGTGCCCCTGCCGCGGCCCGGGAACAGTGCCTGAACCCCGCCCCCCCCCGAGCTTGGCCAAAGAAGCATGTGCACCCATCCTGGGCCGAGGATGGGCCAGGCCAGTGGCGGTGGAAAGAACGACCGCGTGACGAGTGACCGTAAACGTTCGGAGCTCCGAGCGCTTATGCGCATAGTCTAAAGCAAGATCGGGCTGCGAAACATTCGGGCGCCGATCCGAGAAACCCTCCTTGTTTTCCTCGACGCCTGGCTCGCCCTCCCGCCCCGCCCCACAATTCAGACAGAGCCCTCCCAAATGGGGTCCGGGCAGATGGGGTCGGAAGATCGCACCGCGTCGACGATACATGACCGATACATCGGCGACGTCGGCGTGGAGAAACTTGGCGCATCGGCGGGCAACCCCATCAACCCACGGAGGACGAGTTGGCTCAAGTTTTAACCCCGATTTCCTTTTACATCTCTCTACACATCTTGTGCCAAGCATCATGAAAAAGGGCGCTCAATCGAGCAACTCTCCCGAAGATCACAAGAAGGCAAAAGTCGAGCCCAAACCGGACAGAGTTGAGGAAATGTTTGCGGAGCTCAAGAGCCTGATGGGAGGCCTCAGCACGAAGGTTGATGCAAGCCTTGCCATCGCCCAGGAAGCGAAGACCGAAGCGGTATCCGCGAAGCAGGCTGCCCTCGAGACGACGCTGACCATAGCCAGCCTAGAGGACAAGATCAACAAGACCAACGAGACTGTGGCCACAGTGCAGAAGGAGGTCGAGGACATACAGCGTGCAAAAACCACCATCCGCAGGAACCACAAGGAGCCGGACTCCGACATCAGGGACAAGCAGGTGCTCGCGTTAGGTTTCAAGGAGCGTATGGAACCGGACATTATCATCGCCAAGATCGAGGCGATACTCACCGAAGTGTTGGGCGACAGCCACACCGCCAAGGTGGAAGCCGGCGGAAATCGTGCGAAGATGGGGATCATCACATTCGAGGACGCATCTCACAAAATCGACTTTTACAAGAAAATGGAACCGATCAAAGATAAAGAACACGTGAAGCCCATTTTCTTTCGGAACAACTCCACAACGGAAGAAAGGACTAATGACAAGCTACTTGGCTACACCAAGTTCCACCTCACCCGCAAGGGCCACGTCAAGGATGAGGACATCAAGATCGTCTGGCGGAAGAGCCTGGTGGAGGTTCACGGCCGGAAGGTGGCCTGGATCGATGAGTTCGGGGTCTGGCGCACTACGGGAACAGCCAAGAAGGTTGAGCAGGACGTGAAGGCGTCCATGGACACATGGAGGAAAAAGGTGGACCCCGACCCGGCGACCGAGTCTGAGTGAAGGGATGCCCCTCCCTCCCGGGAACATGGGGCTAATACGACCCACAATTTTGAGTTTCACCCGCCATCCAGAATTCATTTACATAGGCATTCGATTTTTCCATTCCCTGTCCCCCTCTCTCCAAATGGAGTTCAGACGAATCTTCCCAGGAACACTGAGACTTTTGAGTGTGCCCTGCAGGACGAATCCGATAATTTACTTTTTAATCCCCCCTCTCAAGGAAGTCAGCTCTCAGGACCTACATCGTCAAGGCCAGCATCGCGACCACCTTCGACGACAATGCCGGCGCGCAGCACAGGCGGTGGCAGAAAGGGCTTTGCACATGCAGACGGCGACGTGCCTTTGAGCATTTTCACAACACAGCACACTCCACTGCCGAATAGCACTGACCGCCACAACCAGCAGCAGCACCGTCGACCAGCAGCGACCGACTACCACGAGCAACCACACACAGCAAACCTCGACCGCAACCAACCAGCACAACCAACAACACTGACC